TTACGTATTTTATGACTAAGATATTACTTCTAATTTTAAGATTAGAGTGACTAAGTTTAAACACGTAATCTATTAACCAAAAGCAGATAGTTTACCCAATATCCTATAGTCCTATAAGTGTCCCTGTCTAGGCCGGCTTTTACCTCTTCTTACTGGTACTGGTGTGTGATGAACGACAGGCTTTGCTTCAGGGTCTATCATAAGTTTTTTTGGCGGCCCGTCCATCATATAGGGAGCGGTTGGTGTTCGCAGGTGTTGAAAGTGCTAGATTTGTATTATTTGTTGTTGTTCTTTGACACGTTTTTAAAAAGTCGCTTTTCTCTTCGAATACTGGACCAATTGCTTTGAAATTTTCAGTGGTTGAAGATAAAATTTTTCTCCAGAAGGCTATTACTTTTTTTTTTCGCTATGACGTCATCAAAATTATTGCCATTGGGTGGCGCTACGTGTCCATATATTTAAGCATAGCTCTCTTGTTCGATTAGATACTCCTGTAGCTTCTGTCGGTTTTCCCCATTCGGCGAGTATGGTAACGACGTTGGGATTGGTGGGGGAAGTTTGCGGCGGGGACATGTGCATATTTATATGTCACCATTTTTAGTCCCTGTCAAAGTTTTGTCCGTCATGTTAATTGATGTCATTTCCCTGTTGACTCCGCCAATCTTTGAAAAATTAAACAAGTTCAATGCATGCTTTCCTGCTCAAGAACAGCTTGTCCGAGCTGTCGGTAATGTAAATGATCTGACGGGAACGAACTATTTTCCCGTTATCAGTTGTTCCTGAAAATCTTGCAACTAGGGCGCCAAGGATATGTATCCATTTGTTATTGGTCGCAGTCATTGTTGTTGGGGTTTGAAATTCTTTTTAAACCCCAATTTAGCAAAGTCAGATGGCAGTATGTCGATCATAATATCAAAAAATAGCTGTGGATCTGACTTGCGTTTTTCCCATCTTTGGCACATATTGGTGGTGGTCCAGAGCCATTCCGTTGGATGAATTCTTGTAAACTGAGCGTAATGAATTGGACATAGAGTTCTCCATGTCATCAGGTTCCTGTGATGGTTTGACCATTTTTGACGATGTTTTGCCTCTACAAACTGATTCAAAATGGTGTAGTTTCAAGCAGTGGTAGCAAGTCTGATTGAAAGCAGGACAGGAACGTTATTTGATTCTCAGTGGAGAACTTTTGCCGTGTCCTGTTTCTCCGCAGTAAGTACATGTGGCTTGCATCTTATCGGATGTGGGCTTGACTTGAATGCGCCCCTTTCGATATGAGCTGATGGCGTCTGTGGACTGGGAATCTGTCGCTTGGCAGACTGTCGCTTGGCCACGAATGCGGGCGCCAAAGTTTCTTACTGGTTCGTCTCTGTCTTGTTTCATGTTGGCGAGCTTGACTCTGGCGATCATGGCATTTTCCTTTGATAGCGTTCAGTATGTCTTGTTCTGATTTTCCTGTAAGATTAGGTGAGGTGCGAGTTAGATCTTTGCGCAGTGGATCGTCACAGCATTCCAATAGTTGGAAAATTATGTCTTGGCCAAATATTTTTGTGGCAGCTTTGTAGTCTGTCCATCTTGATTCAAAATATGTCCATTCTTCAGTTGAGCTAGCAGATGTGATGGTTGGACGTTTTACTTTCTCAACTTGGGTTGTGGGTTGTTGAGTTTTTTGTGCGCTGTGTGTGGTAGCGTGTAAATTCAGCAATGCAGCAACAATAGAGGCCTCATCCTCTGTTTCAAATTCACATTCGTTGATTGGGCATCTGATCTTTGGCATCTTGATGTCACAAGGTATCCCACATAGGGTAAATCATAGATAATTATATATCACTATTTGTTTATTAGGCTATCAGTAAATAATAATTTACCCACTATATGAAAAGAAAGTATATGGTGAATAACGAATACCAATAAATATATAAACATAAAGAAATGCACAATGCTACTGATAATCTACTAATAACTTTGTCATTTTTTAGCTCTCATTCTAAAAATAGGTTGGCTCTGGTTTTACTTGCGAAATTCTGTTGACAAGCTGGTATATATAATTGTGATGGATCATGGCTAAGGCAAAGTGCTAAATTTGTTTTCGATTGATATTCATGCTAAAATTTAAAACAAAATGATATTTTGTAATGTGGTTTAATATTTTGATAAAATTATATTTAAGCAGGATCAAAAAAACGCCGCTCCCGAAGTATGTGCACCAAGATGGCGCACAACCTGAACCATAACCTGGTACAAATACTATGTTCAGGATGTGCGCTATCTTGGTGCATATACTTCTGGAGCTCTGAAAAAAAAACGGAGGTTGGCAACAGCAAGCGGATGTACTTGATGAATATCCAGCTTGTCAAGTTGAAAATAGTACGACAAATTGACATGTAAAAATAGGAATGATTTAAAACAGAGGAATAAGACTCGGAAGCATGAAAATGTTTTGTGAAACCGTACGTATATGCATAAGCTGCCGGGAGACCATTATGAACGTAGAGGATAAGAGCATGTATATATACTGGAATGAATTTTCTCGAATCATTGACTATACTCTATCGACCGTAAAGAAGATTTCGAATTTTTAAAACTATTAGTATATTTTGCAATAGAAACGTGAATAAAAAGAGAAGTGAGAATCTGTGAATGGCTTGTGTGTAAATCTTGCCAATCCTTCTGACCATTACTTTTTACCGACGGCGTCTATATTAAGAAACGTATAGCAGTCACATCGCATGAACTAAACTGACAACACAATCTTGTCCCAAGCCAAGCTAATTCGTGGCGAGTTCGCTTTACGTAATATCAATACTTTTCGAAATTCTCAAAATACCCAAATCAAAACCTAATTAACAATAAATTTGGTCATAGTAATTATATTTAACGTATTTTTTAGCATTTTTTTTATCAATGGCTAAATTGTCAAATAGTGATATTATCTTACAGGTTACGAGTTAGTCATTATTTTCATTCATATACGGGTGTGATAAAATATATTTAGATAATTATAAAACAACGTAATCAGCGTTATTTTTTAAAATACAATATTCTGAATAATAGCAAACATCGAGGACTGTTGATGAAATTAGTATATATATATATATATAGATATGTAACTAACATTGATAAATAATAGTTGGTTAGCTCAAATAATGACTTCAGTCAGTTTCTGGACATGTTGAAGGAGAAAATTTTGCAGATATTGCGACATCATGCAAGACGTTAATGAAGGCTGCAACCTGTCACAAAGTTGGATTTGGACTTGGAAAAAATCCACGAATCACCTGATGATCTGAACAAAGTAAAGCACACAAGTTTTTTCGATAAGATTCTGATATCACCAGACCTTGCATATATATATAGCTAAGGCAAAACGAGACTGCTGTTCATGTCCACAATGGGTAGAGAACAAACGTTTGAACTCAATGGAAGGAGTATTTATATTCCGGTATTTGTACTAGTTCATGATGCAACAACAAATACTTCGACTTGGTAATTTAATTTACAATATCTTCCAGTACTTAAAAAGTTTGATATAAGTTTTCATACCTTTGTCGAGTGGACATAACAAAGCCGCAAAATAATTTTCATAGTCAGAAAGAAAAACTATAGCTGCATTGTCTAAAAGGTTGTCTGATTAAAACAAATAGAATTAAATGAGTTTAACTGCAGACCAACAAAAGAATAATAATTTATCTATATATCGAATATTATATTATATATGTACATGTATTAGTAATTTTACCCATATTTGACACCGCTTCATTCGCAAGTCCGTTCATTTCCTCTCCGTGCTCGAGGTGAATAAATTCTGCAAACGTTCAATTTGTGTCAAAAAATTAACAAATGTCTTAAATTAGAAGGAAAATAATAAAAGAGTTTACTAGTACTTTTCATTGTTATGCTAATCAATAACTCTCCACGAAGCAATCAATTGGGATACATTTTGTGTACACAACATACCATCGTCTGATTTCCTAATATGATAAGTTCCATCTCCTTCATAGTCAACATGAAATTCAAATTCAACATATCTGGCAAATAAAACGGTGTTAAAAAAAATTGTCCTTCTATGCAACCTGTTATCTAATTTTATAATTGTGTTTTCGGGAATTCATTGGAAAGCATTATTAATTAGTATGCTATCAGATCCGAGGAAATAGACTCGTAACTCTTGGACGAGTTCTCAGGTAGATTTGGTAATTTAAACAACATATGAAAATGTAGAAGAATCACTATAGGTAAATAATTTATTTTTAATTTTAGCTATTTTCAACAATATTTTACTTATTGTAACACATTTATACTCTGTAGATTTTGCTTTTTGTTTTCATATATTTACCTGGACCCATTTTCCTTTGAAACAGCTTGGAATCCAGTTTCTGTAGACGTGATATTAGTGAATCAGGCACAAGAGACCTTAGACGTTGTTTCATCAGTCCAGAATACCACGTAGTTTTTGATAACTACAAAATGGGAAAAACCTAAATTACGGTGTTTCCCCGAAAATAAGTCCTATAGCCTGAAAATAGGACCTAGCCCAAATTTAAAAATGATTTTAATCCAAGCCCTACCCTTAAAATAAGATCTAGCCGATAGCGTGAAATTTGTTTTGACCTAATCGAAGGCAAGAAATCTCTCTTACACGTTTCAAATGGTTAAACTAAAACGCGTGAGAAAGGAAAAGGTTCAATGAGTAAAATCTTCATTGGAATTTATGAATCTAGTGACTGGCATGACATTCCAGAGGATGATGATATGGTCAATTTTGAATAATGGCAGTTTTTTGTTTAATAAAAACGTGTTATTTTTAAGTAAATGGATATCGGGTTTCATATTTTGTATATTTGAAAATCTCGTAATTTTCTACTTCGTAATTTTGTTTTTGATAAATGGCATCCTCCCATATAAGCCCTAGTGTTATTTTTCGAAAGAAAATTAAAATAAGACCCTGTCTTATATTTGGGAAACACGGTGTATGTTAGCATTGGTTGATTAGAATTTAATACTAGTTACACAAAAATGGTTTTGACTAATAACGGATTGGAAGTAATTACTTTAATATTAACTTAAAGAGTCATGTTTTTCATTAAAATCAGCAAAAACAAGTGGGTTCAACACACTTCTATAATTTAGTCTCAATTTGAGTTGTTATCTTCATCTCCACCGTACCTTTCCAGCATCGATTTCCATGCCCTCTGAAATACAGCTTTTCTGTAACTGACTTGCATTTGTTATCAGTGCAATTGATGACAATAGTAAGAGTAATTCAACAATTGAAATCATGCTCATTATGACCATAAACGCTTCGTGATTTTTCTAATTTACCTGTAACAAATAGGAAAACGTGTTGTTCGTATATGGGTTTGCTTTGTATAAAAGTTCATCTGTATTATATGTATCAAACAAAGGTTCTTTAAAACGCCTTATTCAAAACATCTCAACTATATTATCAAAAATTAGAAGTTTATTTCAATGAAACAACCAAAAATAGAATGAACTGTTGTTCACATAGCTGCAATGTGAATGCTGCTATAGTCTATATTCTATTGTGCTGCTTTTATGCCTCCCAAGGCCCTTTTTCATTTCATAGTTCTTGAGTAGAATCTTACTCATTGTTTTGTTCTATCCTTCTATGTTTACTTTACGTCAAAATGAACTGTTTATAATTTGGGTGAAGATTCTCTGAGTCAGAGGACGCACAGGATACACGCAAAAAATCAATTCATGTTGTGACGATACAAATCTGTGGCAGTTCCACATAAAATATCCTGATTCAGTAACATTTGAATGAACTAGTTTGAATGAAATATATTTTATTCGCATTGCTCAAATTTTCTGTATATATATATATATATATATATATATATGTGGACATTCAAAGTTTCAAAATAATTTTATAGAAATGAACGTGTCAAAGGGCAACTCATATGCATTTTTTAAATATTCTCACTAAGAAACTACCCAGATTGCAAAAACGTGATCTGTATTTACATTTGTATACATTTTAATGCGCCTTTGAATCATAATTAAAATTTTGAATTGAGCCATGAAATAAGTTTGACAATTCCATTAATATATTAGTCATGTTACAAAGTATTAGTATTACAGATTGAACAACACTGAATTTGCGAGATTTGAGTTTTTCGATATCGGCGACGCACTGTACGACTAGATACGGTAAATTACTGTCAAAGGTAGATGTAGTGTAAATAATTTGATACTATGTAGTTGTGAGTAAAATAATTTAGTATTTGGCTAACTCACGTAGTCACAAGACGCATAAATCATCATTGTCACAGGATATGGTAAATCTAGAGTAGTTCGGCTAGAGGTACTACCACTACCAGTAGTAGATTACGGTTGTTCAGAGTTTCAGCTTCGTCCAGGATGAGATTTTTGGAGCAATAGTGTGTAAATGATTTAGTTTCGATTTTCATGTCCACATGTTGCGCTCTTGTGTTATATGTTGGCATTAGAATTCTTTTTCTCATTCTTTTTGTTATCCTTTTCTTATTAAAAATGGGACCAATTGCTAGTGAAATTTTCAGTGGTGAAGATTGTTTTTTTCGCTAGAAGACTTTTATTTATTTCGAAAATTTCTGTGGGCTCTATGGAATTCGTTTTTTGTTTTGTTTGAAATGATGTCTTCGAAAATTGAGCACCAGGGGCGGCTTTTGTTATAATCGTGAAGACTGCCGTACCTGTAACATACTGTGACAGATATTTTCAATATTAATTTTATTTGAAATGCTTTAATTTTATTGGACATCCTGAAGTATGCTCACCAAGATAGCGCACAACCTGAAATCAGGTTGTGTACCAGGTTAGGGTTCAGGTTGTGCGACATCTTGGTGCGCGTACTTTTGGAGTACTATTTTGTTTTTACCAATCATCATTTTGACTAGTTGATATTCCTAAACTTGTGGGAGTTCCTATATATACTCTTTTATTATCCTTATACTTAATTTTATTTTTATTTCTTCCCTTTTTACTGTAAAAACCTAATATGCATCGTTTATTGTTTTGCTTCGAGTAGACAGTAAGATTGCACATGTATCCCTATTTATCTTATGGCCTGGGTGGCGGTGCCACGTTGTAGTGATTTCATCAATTCCGATACTGAATCTGCAGATGACATTGACTCAGGCATTAATGTTATGCCAACTGTACATACTTTATAAACATCCCTTTGATTCATGCAATTCTTGAACTCAATAATTTCCCTGTTGCGCTTGATATTGGATGATATTAATTCCGGAATGATTGCATACAACAATGTAGAGAGTGAACAGATCCTTAACATCAAAATTGTTCTGCTAAATATCCATTTACATCTCTTCTTGATAGAATATTTTGGAGCTCCAAAAGTATGTGCACCAAGATGGCGCACAACCTAAACATAGTATGTTTACCAGGTTAGAGTTCAGGTTGTGCGTCATCTTGGTGCACTTACTTCGGGAGCGCCAATATTTTTATATAAAGAAATCATTCAAATTTCCCGAATCCGGATTTTCTAATTATTCAAGAAGTATATTACCATATCATATTTTTTTGTTGGCCTATTGCAGGGGTCACCAAACTTTTTGACCGCGAGCCAGGTATGACTCAAACTGTGTTGAAACGGGGCGGATACATTTTTTTGAACACGTTAGTTCAACTGCTGTCATTTTAGTTAAATTTGTTTTTTAGAAAATTCGACATTGATTGCCAGGGGTAGACATTCCGAAACATCGGAAAAAGTATTGGGTACGATGTTTTAAACCTTGAGTTATAGCTGCTGTACCTCCGAGTCAGAGGACAATGTCCTTCCATCGCTTCTTTGAGTGGAATATCGAATCAGATTGGGTATATCTTCAAAGCAACAATGGAATATCCTCAATCGCTTTATCAAAACAAACCGCTGCAGGGCCCCGAAAAATTCTTCCCATACTTTACCATTGCAAAATTTTCGGGGCTATTTTAAGAGTGCTTCTGCGAGTTGACGCCTGTAAAATGGGGTATGTGTTTCAAACCATCATTACGATTCATCGCATACAACAATCTGTTTTTTAAAAGTACCGGTGAAGAATATTAGCCTAGTTTTTCACAGCTATTTCTACACTAATTTTTCCATACTGCAATTAAATTAAAACTCCTAGGAAGACAGAGTGATCATTGAATTATCTGATTTATATTTAAGTTTCCGAAACAAAACTGAAAACCAACGATGAGAGGTCAAAAACGCAAAAACGAGGTAATTTTCACGACCACGCTTGAAAATCTGTCTGAGTGAGAAAAGTGTCTGAGCGGAAGCGAAAAGGAAGCATTGTTGCGTCACCTTTTGCATCTTGCTGATTGGCCAATGTCACAAAGTAAACAAGGAAGTCGATTCTCGGGGAAAGGTCCATAGGGCAAGATATATTTTTGAGCCGCTGGGTGGCATACCTGCGCTTAATCGCACACTGCTTTTAAAACCTCAAGGCAATAACTTTCGAGAAAGTAGTGGGGCCTTGAATCACAAGTATTTTTTTGAGCTCACAACTCTAACACGTACTACACGAATATTCACATATTTACAATTGCTGAGATCATACACCATAACAACGCCTTTGGTTGACATTCATATTTCTCCTATTCATATTTGAATGACGATCAAAATCATGATATTTCAACAATCAACGATAAAAATTATATTAAATAATTTTGTTTATGCTTATAATATTTATTAACAACCTTTGACGTGTATGGTGGCCCATCGTTGTCACGCGTAAAATTTAAAAAAAAAATGAAAAAGCGAAAATAAAAAAATAGTTGTGAAAAAACATAAAAATAATTGAAAAAATAAAAATAAAAAATAAATTAAAACTAAAAAAAAAATTAAAAATAAAAACAAGAACAAAAAAAACGAAAAAAAAAAATTAAAAAAAAAATTGAAAAAAAAAAATTGGGTAAAAAAGAAAATAAAAAGGTTGACAACAATGGTCCGCCTCGTGGCCCATCGTTGTCACGCGTTTTTATTTTAAGAAAATTTGATGCTGCTTGGGACCAACGTTGTCAGCTTTAATCCTACACGCACAAATGTGTATCCTAGGTTTCTAACTCACTACTGATTTTCATGAGCAATATTCAACAAATTCAACATGAAAATGTTCTATAAATTCTCCATGCTACAAGTCCAACAAGAAGTAATATATTTATAATAATGATGAGAGAATATAGAATTGAATACAAAAGTTCGGCAAATTTTTTTTTTTTTTTTTTCGTTTTCATTTTCAATTTTTTTTTTTTAATTCCAATTTTTTTTTCATTTTTTTTTTCAATTATTTTTATGATTTTTCACAACTATTTTTTATTTTCAATTTTACACGTGACAACTATGGGCCACCATAGACGTGGTACCTATTGATATCAAATGAAATAACGCTGAAATTTAGTTTAATTCTTGTCACGAGTTTCAACCCCGAGTATATAATATTATTTCATTGCATATTTGTTAGTGAGTTAGATACAAAATACAATCTATTCATAAAATTTTGAATTGCGTCACTGCCTGTGACAAACATTTGCAGTCACTTCGAACCGGAATAGCAGACTAAATGCAAACAGTGGATGAAGTCCGCCCTTCCTAAAATTCCAAACATCCACTCCTCCTGTTTGCAGGTGTGGTTTACCGAGGGATAACTGATCTGAAACATCCCATCCTCAAACTTAAAAGTGTCATTGCCGCTATTTAGCGATCTCTCGATTATTGGCTGAGTTTATCTCTCAGGCTCAAATTTGACTGGGCCGATGTTTTAGCCTCGAACTTACCGTGTTTTACGGACCATAAAGAGCACTTTGAATCATTTTACTTCTCTATAAAATCGATCGTGCGTATTACAGCCTGATGTGCCTTTACATTCCCTTGTTAACGTAACTTAATCAGTATATGAATAAATGAAATCAGCCTCATAGTTTTTCACAATATATATATATATAAGCATATTATTGCTGTTAACTATAGTATTTTATCAAAACAACGCATACTCACTCAGGAGAAACCGCAAAATAGAGACAATCTCCTTAAATTCGGGAACATCCTCTTTCTCCAACTTAAAATGAAAGTCAGGGAACATACTGGATCAGATAGCCAGTTATTTGTTTTCGGAAGCATGGACTTGATGGTGGAGGAAGCCGTAACTGACCAGCGGTTAGGTGAACCACCCTACATTATATTTTATTACGTTATATTGACCTTATAGTTTCTGGGGGCGAGATAACGAAGTTAGACTCAGACCCGTTTTCGATTCAAACTAGCGGAAGTGGATATCAAACAAACAAAGCATCGTACATAACTAAATTAGAAAGACGTTGAATGTCGGCTTCTAGCAAGTGTTTTTATCAACGACGTGAAAGACGTCTGTCGGCTTATCGAGAATAAGCTAATGTCATGGAACTGTTTTAAAGTTCTTGCCTATTTTGTCATAATTTAAGCTTGACAAAAAGACGTCCAAAATAACCATCATAAGATACTCTATCCGCGGGTTTAACTTGGTGGTACTTTCCGTATTGTCTTGTTATGAGACAAGATTACTTCTTCTTAGTGATTTCAGGTTTCACGTTGAAAATAGATGAATATATTTACGTGATTTGTGGCTTCTGAAAATTACTGCGAGAGCGACAACGTAGGTTGCCCGCGGCCAGTGGCAGGTTCAATAGTTTGATAACTGAACATAATTGTTCGTATTATTGAAGAATTTCGCGGCGACAAGGAAATTACTGTATTATTATCTATGCCCTTACAATCGTACATCACAAAGCGGCATATCAAATGCCTTAAATCTTTCCACCCGTCAACCCAAAGGTCGGGCGACTTTCTAATAATTTATTCTGCTAATGAGATAATGAATATCAGGAGAATTGTCAGAAAATAATATTATAGGCCTTAGTATATCCGGTATTTTACTTCCAAGACACGACTGTGAAAAAGCTTACCGTTATTGCTTTACAGTTCGCTGCCCGTTCCTCTTACATATATATATTAGCTTGGATCGCGCTAGTCACGTAAGCAGTTACATAAAGGTGACGGCATCAAATTCATTTCCTCAAACAAAATTTCAAATTAATGAGGCTTTCTAGTATTAAACTGACATTGAACCTAAATAGCAAATTCTGATAATCGTAAAGAAGAGCATACGCGTTTTATGTCGTCTTCATAGCAGCGGGCCTTCTATTTTCAGTTCGAGTGAGGACTGACAAAACTACGTTTATATCTTCTCATTTTGATGTTTATATACGTTCTTACAAAGTTATCAAAACTGTCAGATTTCCAAAAAATTGACAAAAACAATTAACCCGAGATTTTTATACTAAAATATCAAAATCCAGCACGAGGTAATACACCAAAATTAGACTTCCTAAAATTAATTCTAATAGGATTTACATTAATCAAATCGATGCATAACAGCAAATCAGTTCGGCAACATAATTTGATTCACCGTGTAAGCTAATCCAATTTGATATTTTGTCAGAGGTTATGGGTTTACCCATTTCCCGCGCCTGTTGCATAATATTTTAGCCAAAAGTTGTTTTTTGACTAATAGAGCATTTCGTTCATAGCTGACCGCGTGTGAATACGCGTATATTTAACCCAGTAACCACCAAAAAATTCGTGACTGCTTTTGATTTCCCCTATACCCGCGTCTCGTGTTTCAGTCATCATCGTGGTGAAACGCATAACCTCGCGGTTAGGGGATTCCGGAAATTTGGTGTTCATGTAATCTATTACCCAGAATTATATCATTTAAATCAATATTGGAGGGGGGAAGGCGGTCGCCATTAAAGATGAAACGAATAAAATTAAGCTGTGAGGTTCAACTCGAATGTGAAAATTGCTTTCAAAATTAAAAAGTTTATTCAATTATGAAAACTGCATGCAATTATGAAAACTGCGAATACATGCGTCTTATCGCTGGGAGGTTTCTCATTAAAATTTTCCAACAGCCCCCTCTCGACCTCATTACGGCTTTGTTTATCACCCGTAAACAACTAGTTATAATATTTAGGATAACGATATCGAGTGGGGCCCCCATATTGACCAAGAGATGAAAGACGTTTGACGTCAAAAGATCGACCCAATTGTATTGATTCCAGCTTTGACTAAATACCAGTACAAAATCTGGAACAATTATACTTTGATTTTCTATCATTTCTTTATTATACAATATAACAGATTTGCATTAGGGCATTAACAATATGCAACATAAACTTGAAAATATTGAAGATTGGGGATGAATGAAATAGGGAAGACACTAGAACACAAACAAAAATAAGTTTTTGAAAGTAACAATGAGCAGTGATTGAAAAAGTATTAGCAGGAATAAACAAAACATAACAAACTTTATGACAAGATGATGAATAAATAGGCATTGAAAAGATAGTTTCAGCAAACAACATCAGAGAATATCTGCTGATTTATGTCTCATTATGGGCCTTGTTTTATTATTTGTATTCATATAACAGAATTAGCATTAACTGGAAATAAAATTGATATTTTCACAAGAATTAAACAAACATATAACTCTAACAACAACTCGATCAGTAGATATGCTCAGAATACACTCGTTGAAGGGCTATGGACGGTGAATGTTTTGAAATTAATGCCTGATTTTAGTGGTATGCAATACAAAAGTGTTTAGACAGAGGTATGAGGACAATAAAAACAACGGTGTAATCCTCAAGAATCTTGATTGAAATAACTACAAAGCTTTTTTCGATAGGTTATACGTGTTGAAACCTACAGGAACAAATTTTACGCCAATTTTAATCTTCAAAAATTTTTGGAATAAGCAAAATAAATATTATTAAAGTGGTACAATACAGTAAAAGTTCATGATATAAATTTTGAGTAGGTCAAATTATTAACAAATGGGGACTATGGTTGACATGTACCAATGATACTATGATGCTTTCAAGCTCATTATTGAACTCCTGCTTTTTTGAAATGAAATGAATTTAAGCACCAGCTGTGTCAATGTCAATTAACCTATTCGGACAAAAGCTTATAGACCATAGAATCTGAGGTAATACCAATAATTCAATATTGAAACAAGAAAAGTAAATAGAAATACTTCTACAACCAGTGGGACGAAATTAGTTTTTTTGGCTTCAATATAGACTTTACATGAAAAACAAATGTTATAGCTCTATTGGTTAAACTATACAATGACATGACATTTTTTTTAATTAGGCTTCATGAGAAATTTTATATAAAATTGAACTGGAAAAGGCACCTAAGAAAAAAAAATTGCAATAGCAAAAAAAGTTTATATATACTTTGGTATGTTTCGTCACTAATTAGTTGGCAATAATATTCAATATCAAAATATAGAGGCACATACAATTATGAGATAGAAGTTGCCAGTTGTTATATTATCTGAACATTTGAATGCCACATCAAGTACCAGTAATAAAAATTTACTGAGTGCAATAATTATTTGGCCAAGCATGTTTATCTATCATACATACTTAAATAAACTTGAACAGAAGAACATAATAAATTTAGCCTGTTAATGCTTCTTCACAACTATCATTGATTTTTAATTTCGCAATATGTATCTAAAAGCTTAAATGAATCTCTTAAAAGGACAAAAGTTGATTGCAATGGTTCTTGAGACAAGATTTCTAAAATGATTTCGACATTATTAAAATGCCATTACTAATGCATAACTGATATACATATAATACTGAAAAGGTGAAAATCATGAGTTAGATGAATGTATGACTGTATTTTCTGCATGCTTGTATTTCTAATACTTCAACCAAAAACAAAAAAGGATTAATTTCAGTAGTTTACGATATTTCAATTCTTGATTCAGCGTTGAAAAAGACTTTGATTCGTCAGGAACAAAAATTACAGCATCAATCAAATTTAATTTTAGTATGGTGAGAAATTGAGAAAAAATAAAAATAAAAAAGAATACCATAAGGTTGTGATTGTTGACATTTATAATATTTTAAGCAGGGTGCTCTGTGGCTGATGCAATATTTGGAAGAGATTTTGATGTGTCACATAAATGTGATATAATATTTGTATCTTTAATACATTGTTTTCTGTTGTTATTTTTATAACTACCTTGACAGTCAAAAGTTATTTCATCAGAGACCCGACTGCTGGGTGTTTCACAAACATGGTGCAGAATGGTTGTGTCACTGTGTGCATGACTCAGCAAAGATGCTTCAGGCGAGGAAACAAAAACATATTTAGTTCTCTGCGATGTTTGCTGGTTCTTGCTTTGCAATAGTGAAAAATTCAGTTCCGTTCCACGGCTTTTTAAAATGATTTTAACATTATTAAAATGCTTGAACTCATATGCATACAGTGCTAAGCTGAACAATAAACAGCCTGTTAAAAGCCATTCTGTTACAGACCCTGCCAAGTCCAAATATCGTTTATACAAAGGCACATCATGAATGATTGGGATACATGTTCCATTAGGAAAACGATATACAGGTGGCTCCAAAGAAGGTGCAATTAATTCTTTTAAATCTTCGTTTTTGTGAACAACATTAAACTCAAGTCTAAGGCAACCAAGTACTGTCAAAATACAAATTGACGAAATCATAATGCCTGCCGATACAAAGCGGAGGATGCAGACAATAATGGAGCACACAGACTTCCTGGCAACAGCCCTGTGCAATTTATGGGTCAGTATACTTGATAGCACGCAGTAAACCGTTCCGACAATAAAAGCGAGACCAGCTCCAACATAGTGAGGAACTTTATTTTTGCTAACTTGGAAGTTACCGACCATTACAACGCCAAAACAGCTAAGAATTCCTGATATCAATGCAGCACTATTGAGATGACTTCTTTGATCCATGTGTCGCATAAATCTCCATGCCAATATAACAACAACAATGCCGATAAATCCTTCTGTGTTTAAGATTAATCCAAATATGCTTGACTCAGGGTGTTCAGTTCCAGTGTAGCTTATGTAAGGTAGGAACCATTTTTCCACATGACAGTTATTTTTTGCAAGAGTATATGTTGTTATCATTCCAAAAAATGCTGTTACTCCCAAAAATATTGGCAAATGATGCCATGAAGGGTTTAAACACCATTTCTCTGCCATGTGTTTCATCCACCACAAGTTTGTTGCGTAGAATTTTATGAGGCAATAATTGATATCAGAAATCAAAAATAACTATTTCATTTCAAAAGCTGCAAACATGTATATATACCAGTGAGACACTATACTCTATCAGCATGTATAACTATAAAATTACATCAGAATTGATTTGGTATTCTAACTTTAGCTATGTCTGTATGTTTCAAATCTAACTTCTGAATCTACTTCAGGTAATAAATCTCCATTTATCTGATTTATGAATACTGCAGTAAGGCAAGTATTAAAAAAAATCACCCAACTGCCTGGGGAATACCGGTAATTTATTAAAATCTAGCCTATATCAATGGTAGAAAAACGCAAAATATCACAATTCATGATACAGCACCTCCCGTAACAAACTCACACAAAAAAAAACATCAGTAAAAAAATTTACTGGCAATTGACTTAGTACGGTATTCCAGAAGGTTGAACCTTTGCGAAAATTGCCTTCATCTTTATCGCCTACTTACAGGTTTGGTATAGTCAGTATAAGTCAATTAATTAGGCATGAAGAAATTTCCCAGAAAAATGGTAAACAAGGTACTTCAGTAAGCGGTTCTACATACAGACATAAAACAAAAAGATCTAACGATAGCTTCATAAATTCGCTCTTTCGCAAAAATACTCGGGTAAGTGTTTTTATCGCTGACAGTAATAAGAAAGTGATTCTATTAGCTTCATTACTTCTATTCAAGCATATAATCTCGTATAGCCTAAAAGCGAATATAACGATGACCCAATTCGATAACAGAAAGCCTACCCAACACGCAGCTAAACCAACAGCCCGCTGTTACACACGATCAATTGAATGTTTACAATATACGTTGGCACGTCGCTTCAATATTTGCCTTTCTCGAAATGGCGTAGACGCGGGTAAACGCGATAGTCGTGCTGACCGATACAACAACATGTCGAAGTTTAAAAATTTCATTGTTGTATTGCGATCGACCAGCTTATGCAATCGACAACTTCTAAATTCTCTGCGAAAAATTTGTTGACAGAAAACATTTGTTTGGAATGCCCTAACCAAAATATTTTCGACTTTCGTATTATAACAGAACCGATAAATTCAAGTTATGCGTATGTGACGAAAATATACAATAACATTCAGTTCGAAACCACTTGACACACTAACGACGAGCTTCTTGTTCGTAAACGACTGGTTAATATACAATATACACCTCTCTTTATATGACGAGACCCACCACCAGCATTTGAGAAAAAAGTAGAAACGAAAATGAAACTATTCATCTGTTCCACTGTGTGCCCCAGAGGTACTTTTCCCGATCACAGTTAACTAAAAAATAAACCGAAAACTGTTTTTCATGAAAATGGGTTTTTTCCGTATTTTGATTATATACATAATATTTTTGGTTACTTATGCCACAAAAGTTTGAGCATGTTTATAACCAATAAGGATATGTACATCCTAGATATATCCTTATTATAACGGTATAAGGATGGGGTACGCTTGGCATATTGCAGTAATACGACCGCGTAATATTAGGAGATAGGTTGGCCTCATAACCGATCAACTCGGCCGGCTCTTCATTAATACAAAAAACTGTCGTTTTCAGTGAACAACGAAATTGGATCGTATTCGAAAATGTAGATAGAATGAGTAATATTACCTGAATACGGAATTTAATCCGTTAGCATACCTCCATAATATAATCAAGAAAGTTCGGGGAAGACATGATTAGTACGTTTAACGCCGCAATAGTTGACGTGTCAAGCTCGCTTGCACACTCTCAAAAAGAAATCAAAATGACAAGACGGTATAAAAGTGAATTATTATAATTTAAAAATAAATTCTATGTAAACGATAATGTAGTTTTTGTGCTTTAATTATAATTGGACCTGCATAGGCAGTGCAAAGGTGAAAATATCGAGAGTTGTTTTTCATATATTTGGGACACTCAATCTGTTTTTAAAACAAGTACGGTCACCGAGTAAAATACCGAGTTTCCCGAAAATAAGACTTATTGAAAATTGAAGTAAGACCTTGTTTTATTTTTGAGGAAACACAGTATTTTCAGTCCGAGTGAGCGAACTTTAATTTCAATATAGCTTGCCCCCCAAACAGTCTCTGCGTGTACTTTTACGAACGATCCATCTTAGTGTGGAAGCCAACATTTGACAAGGCGACAGTTTGGCATCTTAAAAGCGATGACTAAGTATTAAAAGTGTGTCGTTTCGCTTCTGAAATTACAGGAAATCGCCTTTTAAAACAATCGTCTAAGATTTTTTGGTATTTGCTGTAACCAAAACAGTCTAATTCTAGTGACATCTGACCCCAAAATGAAAAGTTAGCTCGGTTCTTAATTCCGCAGTCTGACTATACGCATCTACAGATTAAAGCGGGCTGGTGGCCAAATATTCACGTTTGCTCCAGCTGTTGTGCGGAAAATATTATCTGATAAGCAAATACAAAAAGCGACTGTCGAGAAAAAGGTGTGGGGTGTAAAAGAGTAAAGAACGAATAGGCAATTGGAATAGTTTGAAAGACCTATATATCTCCATACATACTTCATACTGCCAAGTGCGGTCAAGCCTGAAGTACTCATTTCGTTGGCTTCAATACATTACTCATGCTTGAGACTGGCCCAGTTTGCACGCTGAAGAACCAATTATTTTTCCCACCACTATTTTGAGTGGACTAATATTAATATCAGATACGAAAACAAAACTAACAAACATATGGACATTCGAAAAAATCGTAGTTATATAAGCTTTCCAGAAACTAAATTAGTTGCGTTGTAAATAAGTTTGTTTATGCCATTACCAGTCGACTATCCACGTACACATACCTCAAGTTTCAAACAAAGTTTCATTACTGCTTCATATGTGTCACTGTGTGTGGTCTCTGGTGTATTCAGCTAAATAACAGGAATGTTGTGATTGAATGATGGTAGGTCATTTTGCAAATAAATAAGAATTTCTTCGTTAGTTATGATTTATTCTGTTACATGTGTAAAAATCTTTTAACGCATGTCATTGTGGTACAGTTAAACAGGCGAAAGCACTTTAGTTAGCGTCTGGAAAACGAATTCGTGATTGCACGCTGTTTATGTCACGCGCGCTTCAAATTATGCCATACTATTCGGTATGCTGCAAGCAACGTTTCGTTTCATTTGGTTTGCTCGTCGAATTTCATTCTCAAGGGACCTTGTAAACTAAACGCTCGATTGCTTGTCACCCACACACTTATAAACTCGAGGGTTTAAAAATTGTATGCCCCATTTTGGGGGAAGGTGATTGATAATCCGAAGCAAATAAAATAGCTAACTATGCATGAATGGTGTCACTATCACTTTTTCCGAATTAAACAATTTTCACGATCGTGAAATATATTATGGAATGAACAAATATGCACAGTTAGTTTGCAAACATGTAAATATACTTGGGTCAAAGAACGAGCTGAACGTGAAAAAATACGTGTCTCAAGCTTCAACTAGTAAGTCCAAAGTCCGAATCATCAAAAAAACATCAAGCAAATACCCTTGCTGTAGCTTAGCACACTATATATATTACGCTCAAATTTACCATCTTTATTGGTGACTTTGCCAAAAATTATATATATTCATTGAGCATTACGATTTCATTATTTTACCTTTCAGTAATCGCCTTCTGAGTGAAAACTGGGAATACGAGACAAAATCAGAAGCGGAAGATAAGGTTCAGGTCGTTCTGGTATTGGAATCGATCTTATATTACGAGACAACTTACATTAAATTTGTGCAATTCTGTCTTTCAACAACAACAATGATAGTTTTGTAAACAGAAAAATCAGGATCGGGTCAAAAAGATCAAGTGCGAAATAAAATATTTTGGTTGTCGACCATTTTGAATGGCGGTAGACCGTTTTCAGTAATTGTTAATTTACGTTTAAATATGCATTATCAAGATAGACAAATCGACGCTGTTCTTCCTATTTTTCAGGAAAACAAAACAAAGTTGAGCGGAATTTTTATTTGCAATTTGTGCATGATAAATAATTTCTTTTGTCAGATTTGTTGTGTTTGTCCACAAACATCGAAGTGAGCTCAAGTAAATATTGGCTAACAGACGTGTTATCATGAAAAAACTAAAGGATTTACCAATAAAAACGGGTCGGGAGAATTTCGGATTAAATAATATAAAACTCGAGGACAAACTCATGGTTTTCAGTTCAAAGAGACCGAACTGAAAATTTGTTTCTATTTTTATCACAAAAACTACGTTTTGACTCGTTTTTAGTAATTTTTAGAGTGGGCGAATTCTCATATTGTGGTTCACCTTATGAAGAAATGTTCATCGAAGAAAATAATTTGTTACTCAGAGCTTGGTATGTTTTATTCCGTAAAGCGTTTCTAATGTGACATTATCTCTAACCTATGCCAGGTATATATAAGTAGAACGCGATGCCTAGCATCATACGCACGTCGAAACCCCCGAAATATCTGTTCAGATGGCTTATGATAAACAATATTACAAATCTGACATGGTCACACAATAGCATCGTTATTTTATAAATATTTCACTTCTGGAAAAACGCCATACTTTGACTGGAGAAACAATATTCTTTTCAAGTGAAGTGGAATATCGCTCAAATTGTTATACACATACTAAGATGCAATAATACACACAACCTTACATAAATATTACCATGTGTCTGAACGTATATGAAAAAGCTCAACTTCGAATTTGTTGACAAAGAATATTTCTCAGATACCGTAATTGATTTATCATAGTGAATGTGAACATAAATCACACGAAGTTTATTTCTAAGCGTTAACGTCTAAAATCTTTAATAAACACAGCAGAAGGCGCATGAATGAACGTGAATAATGGTTTATTGCCAACGCAAATCTAGAAATTTCTCGAATTCACTGTATCTATCACAATAAATGCGTCTGTCAGAAGATGCGATTTTACAACAACTACAAAGCCATTTTCACTGGTTGATTTGTCAGTTGCATCAGTAATGAACACTAAATAAATCTCAATTTTTAATGAATAATTGGGTAAAATGTGAATATCCAAGGTCTTGGGACGCTTATCAGCAGTTCTTTATCGCCCTCTGTCGGCTTTGCATTACATTAGTCGAGATTATTCTCGAACATTCCAGAACCATGATATTAATGAATAATTTTGCGTCAAATATCGCAATAAGAAGCAATTCGCGAAATATCTAGAATGTGTTCTTATGCTATATATAAAGCAGATGATCGAAGCAAATATTCATTAACAGATAACAAGGTTTCTGAACGCATCTACGAAGACAACAACTGAAATATGGCTTTCACAATTACTTTCTCCAGGCCAGCTCAACGTCGCCGATTTTATCCATCTCGATGTTGCGATTTTTTGGAACCAATGTTGTGGACATCTGCTGTTGTACCAAGAGATGATACTGATGATTTTTCAAACTTTCTCCAAGCCCTTATCGGCAGGTACATATAATATATATATATTATCCTTTTTCAGTAACTTTTGCTTCTATAAGGTTTCGATATTCGGTCCAGATAGTTATACAATGGCATAAAGAAAAAATTTGGAATAAAATGCATTTTTGGCATTCAGCAGCAAAGGTGAAATACCATTTATAATTTGAAATAAGTCTATTTTTTCTTATATTTATACAATAATGAATACATGTTAACTCGATCACAACCTTATCTAGGAACGAATCCCAAAACAATGCGAATAAGCAAGTAGAAGTGACACATGACGAATCAGAACATAAAAAACAGTCATCTCCGGAAAAATATGCAATGAATATTGATGTTCAAGATTTTGCACCTGAAGATATTAAAGTAAAGGTACAGGGAGATAATTTAATCGTTGAAGCGAAACAAGAAGTGAAAAAGGAAGAAGAAGGAATGTCCTTCCATAGTTTCAAGTGAGAAAATCCTTATCATGTACCTGAACATACTATATTTATATTTTATCGAGTATTTTGTTACAAAGTAAAGTTTTTGTACATTCTGTCTGATTTAAGCTGTTATTGACATATTACATATTCCTCATATTTAATCTAACTCACATACAACATTACAGGGAACTACGAAGAACACTTGAAATCCCCAATGGAGTAGACAAGAAAAATATTACATCAGCATACTCTAGCGGCGGAATTCTTGAAATTGAAGGTTCCTTTCTACCACCAAGCATAACCGAAGATCCAGAAGAGAAAACGGAACTTGACATTGAACGTAGCGAAGAATAATATTTACAGTATGATCAAACAATACATGAAATTTATCACGGGCTTCAAATAGTCCATACATACATGGAAAGCACGAAACGGAAGTGCTCAAAACTGATTTCAGCGCGCATGACTCGAAAAATATATTTGATTCATTGAGTAATATCAAGTCGAAATGGGAATCAAATGGTTGTCATGTAAAAACAATTTTTCTCTCAAACTAGTTTCAATAATTTTGTTTTTTTCTGTCTTATTTTTCGTGACTTCCTGAGTTTTCAGTGTTTTCCTGCTTTGCATTTCTCTTCCATATTATTCAAATTTCTACGAGGCAGATTTAGTCATGAAATGAATAATTCATAGTAAAATCACAGTTTTATTGTTCATTTTTATTAACAAGTTAGTGAGAGAGAGAAAGTAAGAAATAGGTGTTTGAATAGCCTCGGTCGCATAGAATGCTCGGTGCTGGTAATAGTCCACCAAGAGAAACATCGTCTTTTCGACATTGCTGTTATTGAAATTATTCCCAGTAAATTCTAAAGGCTACCTTTTGTTTGTAAACAGATTTCGAATAAAATTTATTGACCTGCATCTATACTAACGCAAAGATCATACAATAACGCTGTACACTTTGAAATAAGGCGGCTATGACCATTCATTTTGCGGCGCCAATTTGTGACTCATGCTCTAGCTTAGACTGACCTGATTGGTTGTTAACGATCCAATTATGTAATTTATATAAATTACAATTTAGTGTGGTGTCAAAATTCTATTAAAATACTATAAATTAAAACTAACGAACATTAGGATATTCCGAAAGGTTTACATACATTATCTGACTTTCCTTTACTTTTTAAGATAAAAATTTTTTTGCTTGTTGAATAATATTGCCGCCATGCTTGCCAATTTCGCGAAGTAGATACTCATACGCGATAAGATTCATAAAACATTACTCAATATGAAATATAATGTTCTTATGCATTCATTGTCATCATATTTTAATGAAAATGGTGAAATTACTGTAATAAAGTATTAATTTTTGTCAGTGACGGGTATTGATTGACATATTTGAACTAGAACTTATCAAATTTCAATGTCGCTGTTTACCCCAAACATTGTTGGTATTTGTGTGTAATTGATGTCAAGAGACAGATTAGTCTAATATAATACCAGAATGATTTTTATTATTTTTTCATGTGTGCAACAATGTGTGCGGTTTCTGGTATTATTCAGCTAAAGAACAAGAATGTCGTGATCAAATGTTGGTAATTCATTTTGCGAAAAAATAAATGCTTGGATAGTTGTGAGTTATTTCGATACCTCCGTAAATAGCTTCAAGGCCAGGTCATTGTGAACTCGTATATGCCCTCACAGTACATTTGAACAGGCGAAACCACTTTAGATCGCGTCTGGAAGACGGGTATCTAATTGAATGCGTCAATATCACGCTATGGATGTCACGCGCGCACTGGTATATTTTTATTATTGCTTCATGTGTGTCACAGTGTGCGGTCCGAAGGTGAGCTGACGAACACGAATGCTTTGATCGAATTGGTGGAAAGTAATTCTTTTGAAAGAAAAATGAAGAATTGCTTCTTTAGTTATGATTTATTTTAATATCTGTGTAAATGGCTTCAAACGCAAGTCATTGCGAACCCTTTATAAGTCACTGCAGTACAGTTAAACATACGATACCACATCAGTTAGCGTCTGGCAGACGAATATCTAATTGGTTGTGTCAATATCACGCTATGGATGTCACGCGCGCTTCAAATTATGCGATGCCATCTTTATGCTATACAGCTTTATGCTTGCTTCATTTGGTTTACTCGTTGAATTTCAGTTTCAAGGGAAGTTGAAAATTAAACAATCTCTTGCTTGTAGCCTACACACTTATGAATTCGAATGTTTTGAAATTTTATGCCTCATTTTGGGGGAAGTTGATTGATAAACCGAAGCAGAATTAAAAAAAAAGGTCAACTATGCATGGCTCTTGCTACTATAAAAACCCTTTGTCGGATTGAAGCATTTTCACCATTCTGATTTAATTGTAAAAATATTATGAAATGAACAAATATGCACAGACAAAGTTGTTTTGTTTTTGCAAGAATATACATATTTGAGTCAAAGCACAAGCGGAACCAAAAGAATAGGTGTCTCACATTTCAAAGTCCAAAGTCTGACTTAAAAAAACATCGCGCAAATATCCTTGTTGTAGTTCAGATGCTTTAGCACACTAAATACTTGACGTTATCGACATAAAAATATATTCATTGAGCATTGTTATTTCATTAATTTTCTGTATTCATTTTAGTTAGATATGAAAACAATTGCTGAAATTAGTTTAGAGTCCACTCTTCAATTATTTTACAATAACAAAGTAAGTATCTGTGACATTGCGTGGGGAAATATAGATCCAATCATTCATACCTGTTGAGATATGATGTTCAAATGTAACTTGAGCGCATTTTGAGTGAAAACCGGAAATCCAGGACAAAATCGAAAGAGGAAGGTAAAGTTCTCTTCATTCTGGCATCGATCTCATATTACAAGACAGCTTGAACTAAATTTGTGCAATTTTGTTTTCAACAACAACAAGGATAGTTTCGTAAACGGTAAAATCAAGATCGGTGCAAAAATAAAATATTTCGGTTGTCGCCCACTTTGAATGGTGGTAGACAGTGTTTGGTAGTCGTCGATTTACAGTGCAGAATTCATTATCGACTTAGACAAGTAAACTTCCTTCTCTTTATTTTTCAGGAAAACAAAATAAAGTAGGGTGGCATTTTGAATTGCAATTTGTGCATGATAAACAATTTCATTTGTCAGATTTGTGGTCGTCAACAAAAATTGAAGTAAGCTTAAGGAAATATTTGCTAACAAAGTCTTATCGTGAAAATCTAAATAATTCAACAATAAAAACGGGTTAGGAGAATTTTGAAATTATAAAAGCTAATACGAAACTTCAAGACAAACGCACGGTTTGAGTTTGAGTACTGAAATGAAAATTAGGTTTTAATTTTATCAAAAATAAAAATGAGTTTTTAGTAATTTAGAATCTCATGTTAACTTTATGGAAAAATGCCCATTGAAGAAAATTACTCAGAGCCAAGTGGGTTCCATTGCCGTAACGCGTTTCTATGGTGATATTATCTCTGCCGTCTGCTAGGTATGGCACAATAGGGTAAAGAGTTGTCATCACATTTAAATCGAAAAAGTAAAATTACTGTAAGGTATTAATTTTTGACGGTGACGGTTATTGATAACATACTTGAACCGAAACTTATCAAATTTCAACGTTTTTATTATTGTTTTATGTGTGTAACATAGTATGTGGTTTCTGGTGCATTCGGCTAAAGAACAAAAATATAGTGATCGAATGATGGTAGTTCATTTTTTTCGTTATTTATGAGTTATTTTGATACCTGCGTGAATAAATTCAAACGTAGGTCATTGTGAACCCCTTATATGTCATTGTAGTACAGTTGAACAGGCGATACCACTTTAGTTAGCGTCTGGAAGACGAATATCTAATTGCGTCAATATTACGCTACGGATGTCACGCACGCTTCAAAATATGTGATGCCGTTTTCATGCTGCAACGTTGTGCTTCATTGGTTTGCTCTTCAAATTTATTTTCTAAAGACCTTGCAAACTAAACCCTCAATTGCTTGTCGCCCAACTAGCTTACTTATAAATTTGAGAGTTTAAATATTTTATGCCACATTTTGGGGGAAAGTAATTGATAGCCCGAAACAAAATAGAACAGCTAACTATGCATGACTGGTTACACTATCACTTTTTCTGAACAGTTTTTACCATTCTGAATTACCTATAAAATATATTATGCAATGACCAAACATGCACAGTTAGCTGGAATATAGAAGACTAATAGTTAGTCTTATGCACCAAAGTCTGAATCTCCCAGAAAAACATTACGCGAATAACCTTGTTGTAGCTTCCTTAGCACATTATTTACTTTACGCTAAAATTTAACAACCTTTCTATTGGTGACATTTCCAAAAATTAAGTATATTAATTGAGCATCACGATTTCATCAATTTACCCTTCAGTTATTTTGCGATTGCAAGTTATATATATCTGCGATATTACGCAGAGAAATGTATATATCCACACATCTGTTGAAATATGACGTTCAAATGTAACTTGATCGCTTTCTGGGTGAAAGTCGAGTATACGCGACTAAATTAAAAATGAAGATGAAGTTCATGTCGTTCTGGCATTGGAATCGATCTTATATTACGAGACAACTGATAATAAATTTGTGCAATTTTGTCCTTTAAAAACAACAATGATAGTTTTGTAAACGGCACAATCAGGCTCGGATCAGAAAGATCAAGTGTCAAATAAAATATTTTGGTCGTCGACCACTTTGAATGGCGGTAGACCGTTTTCGGCAGTTGTTAATTTACTACGTTAATGAATGCATTCATTACCAACCTAGAAAAATCGACGCTGATCTTTCTATTTTTCAGGAAAACAAAACAAAATTGAACGGAATTTTCATTTGCAATTTGTGCATGATAAATAATTTCTTTTGTCAGATTAGTTGTGGTCGTCAACAAACATTGAGGTAAGCTCAAGTAAATATTGGCTAACAGACGTTTTATCTCGAAACTATTTACCAATAAAAACGGGGAAAAGAATTTCGGAACAAATAATTCAAAACTCCAATACAAACTCATGGTTTTCAGTTCAAAAGGATCGAACTGAAAATTTGTTTCTAAGTTTGTCAAAAACAAAAATACGTTTTATTCGTTTCAAGTAATTTATTGAGTTGGCTAATTCTCATATTGTGGTTCACCTTATGGAGAAATGTTCTATAAAGAAAATAATTTGTTACTCAGAGCTTGGTATGTTCCATTACCGTAACGCGTTTGTAAGGTGACATTATCTCTAACTTATGCCAGGTATATTATATAAGTAGAACACAATGACTAGCATCATACGCACGACTAAACACCATAATATCTGTTTACATGGCTCCTGATAAATAATATTTTCATTAAAAAAAAAATTAGACCTATTTCAAATCAGACACGATCACATAATAGCATAGTGATCCTATAAATATTTACCTTCTGAAAAGAATCCTTACTTTTACTGGGGAAACAATATTTTCCTCAATTGAAGTGAAACATCGCTCAAATTGTTATACACATACTAAGATGCTAAAATACACACAACCCTGTGTGTGAACTAACATGAAAAGGCTCAACTTCAAATTTGTTGACGAGGACTATTTCTCAAAAAATTGATTTACCATAGACTATTTCACGAAGTTTATTCCAAGCCTAAATTTTTTGATAAACACAACTGAAGTCGCATGAACGAACGTGAATATTTGACATTCCCAACGTAAATCTAGAAAATTCTCGAATTCACCGTATCTATCACGATAATTCACAACAATTACAAAGCTATTTTGATTGGTTAATCAGCAGATGCATCAGTAATGAACACTAAATAAATCTCAATTTTTAAAAAATAATTGGGTAAAATATAAATATCCAAGGTCTTGGGACGCTTATTAGCAGCTCTTTATCGCCCTTTGTCGGCTTCGCATTCAATTGGTCGAGATTGTTCTCGAACATTCCAGAACCATGATTATAATGAATAATTTTGCGTCAAATATTGTAAAAAGAAGCAATTCGCGAGTTATCTAGAATGTGTTCTTATGCTATATATGAAGCAGATAATCGAAGCGAATATTCATTAACAGATAACGAGATTTCTGAACGCATCTACGAAGACAACAACTGAAATATGGCTTTCACAATTGCTTTCTCCAGGCCAGCTCAACGTAGACGATTTTATCCATCACGATGTTGCAATTTTCTGGAACCAATGTTGTGGACATCTGCGCCTGTACCAAGAGATGATACAGATGATTTTTTAAACGTTCTCCAAGCTCTTATTAGCAGGTACATATTAGCCTCTTTCAGTAACTTTTGTTTCTATAATGCTTCGTTATTCGATAATTATTCAGATAGTTATATACAATGGCGCAAAAAATAAAATTTCGAATAAAATGTAGTTTTGTTATTCAGCAGTAAAGGTGAAATGCCATTTATATCTTAAAATAAATCCATTTTTTTCTCACATATTTATACAATATATAATGAATACAATCTTATTCAATCACAATCTTATTCAGGAACGAATTTCAAAACAATGCAAATAAGCAAGTAGAAATGACACATGACGAATCAGAACAAGAAAAACAATCATCTCCGAAAAAATATGCAATAAACATCGGTGTCCAAGATTTTGCACCCGAAGACATCAAAGTTAATGTACAAGGAGATAATTTAATCGTTGAAGCAAAACAAGAAGAGAAGAAGGAAGAGGAAGGAATGTTCTTCCATAGTTTCAAGTGTGAAAATCTTTATCATTTACCTAAACATAATATATCTATACTCAATCGAGTATTTTGTTACAAAGTAAGGGTTCTGTAATTCTGTTACGTTTCCGTATATTCTGTTCGATAAGCTGTTATTCACATTTTATACATTCCTAACATTGAATCTAACTTAATATAACCTTACAGGGAATTAACAAGAACATTTGTTATCCCCGAGGGAGTAGACAAGAAAAATATTACATCAGCATACTCTAGTGGCGGAATTCTTGAAATTGAGAGTTCCTTCCTACCGCCAAGCATAACCGAAGATCCAGAAGAGAAAACAGAACTTAACGTTGAACATACGGATGAATAATATGTGTATTATGAACAATATACATAAAACAAATCACGACCGAGCGCTCTAAAGCTGTTGATAGAACCAGTTTTATGCGAGCCGGTGTCGATGATTAAACAATTTTGTTCATTTTCTGCTATCAGATCGTTGTATTGAATAAAAAGCAATATTACCTTATTTCATTTCTTCTATTACCTATTGCCCTATTTTTGCTTTCCGAGAATGTATAGTTATTTGTTCTCTTGTTCTTTGTCAATTTATGAATGCTGCAAAAATTTTCCCATGAAAAAACACTTACATAATGTTATCAGACATTTGAGTAGTTCAGTTTTAATCACAAAAGCGAGAAAGAGAGAGAGAGATAGAAAGTTTTCAAATAGTCTCACAAGACTCAATGCGTGAATAAAAAAAACGCTTCTGTAAAGCATTAAAATGCAATAGGCAAAAGAATGCACCCATTTGAGCAGATAGCATTGTTCTGTCTTGATTCGTACTTACGACACGCAGAAGCCTTCGTTAATAAAAGAAATAAAACCCAAAATTCACCCCAATACGATTAAAAATCACGAAGTGTTTAATTATTAGATATATATTTCTGTTATTGTCATAAATATCAATAAATCTATCACTTAAAATTGCTTAGGTTAGAGCACTCATAGCATAGGTATATTAACAATTCAACAACAAAACATTCAAACAAAATAAAAAGAAATTTTTTTAAATAAAATATATATTCTCTACAGAAAATATTATTTCACGCATTCATACATTGTACCAGTACGGAAAACCAATGAAAACTTGCTATATGTATTTATAACTCACGATATATCTCGACATTAGGCAAATAGTGAATCACTCTAAAAATTGGCGCTGCTGTTTGGTTAAGTATTATATTGCGTCAAAAATTATTTCTTTTGCTTGCTTTAATTACCTTTATATACCAGAATACTTATTTTAATAGATAACCATATATTCATAATCATTACACCAACTGATGAAATATCATAACTCCGAGCCAAACGGCGATCCAAGCCGATGTGATCGTTTTTCTTTGACTCCCTGCAATATAAATAAATTAAATGACTATAACAATTTGTGAAATTCAAGAATTTTGAATTTTATTCTTTTTTGTATCAAAGCAAAAATAGTGTAAAAGTATATAATATATTATTACTATTAGATACTTGAGTTAAAACATTTGATCGCCTCACAGATATATCCCAGTTTATAACGGGTATGCTTCCAGAAACTATCAATAGTAACGATTTCGTTATACCCAGATGGGAAATATTGGAAACTAAAGCAATGTATATAGTTTTAGTGTCGATAATGTTTTCTGCTGGTCAATAAATGTTAAACGGTCAATAAATGTTACGAAAGAAGGCTATTATATTTTAATAAAATAGCACTTTATATGCTCAGTCATTTTTATAGGGTTTGGTTATCGTTTATAGATTCGAGTTCATAATCAAGTCGCAAATTTAGGATCACCGGAATGAATAAAATTTTGTTCCGAACTGGTCAAACTGATTTCGTATTTTGCGTAGAATGACTTTTTCCCCGGATTGTCATTAGTCGAATTTGGAAAACAGAATAGGAAATCAAACAAATCAAGGTACTCTTTTCAAGTTCTAACCGCTCACTAACCGACCACCGACGTGATCACTTCATGACAGTTAGTCGTATCATTCACATTCTGCAAGAACGAAACTAATCGGTAAGAAGAAACAGTAAACCCAGCTAGTATATGTATAGAAATTATGATAACAACTTACCGTTTCCACCATTATCATCATCATCAAATATCAAAACCAGAGCGTTCGAAATGGTTTGGGGAGAAGATTCTTTGGTGGTGATGGGAATCTCATCGTCGTCGTCATCGTCGTTAGCACGATTATTCATACCGCTTTTTGCCGAGTTAGCTCGAATAATGGGGTCGTGCTTTACAATTGATCTGTTAATTTATATTAGGCTCTTGAGTATATTATGTGACTGCACACAAATTATTTAGGAATATTGATTTTTAAATTGGAAGCATAAAATATTAGCTGTGATGACAATTCCTCATTAGATTTCGCGAATCTTCCCAGCCTCTGGAAATGATTACTGTCATATTGGCTGGAAATACAAAACAAAAAATCGTTTTCTTTTCAAGCGTTGTTATACCTATGATCAAAAAAATCAGATGAATACTTCTATCTTCAAAGAAGCACAAAAAATGAAATAGCACACCGACATGTTGTTGCCATATTACAGCAGCGTATATAGCAAGGGAACGAGTTAATGTGGAAGATGTAGTTGATTGCAAAACTATCTAAATACTAACAATATATTCAAAATATATAACATGACAGCCGCAACAGATTATGAATACTATCTATATAACACACCAGCGACATTTAGCGACTATAGGGCAAGCCACACGAAAAACAGTCACAACAAAACATTTCTTATTGTATCTCTTATTTTAGGCACAATGCAAGTACTGAAATGGCGTATTCATTATCAAGCCGTTCACAAGGTAAGAGTGCTTTAATAGTATATATTTCTGTTGATGACAGTTGATGGAACATTACTGGCTGAACTGAATGAGTACCATTTTTCAAAAGTCGTCACAGGAAAATAACAACGCTCGGCAAGGACAAACAAAAAGAAAAAGCACAGCATTCACTGAAACGTGAAAATTAGTGCATATACCTTTTGTCTCTGAATGTTGAAGATACGCATCCTTGATAACATCTCGTAGTATTTGATAAATCACACAGAAGTACAGAACACTGAAAATGAACACGATAATATTTTTGACTGTGTTAACCTATGGAACAAAAGAAGCACACTGACAGTTTCTATTTTTTTCTCGAATCATACAAACCTGTATATAAACTGCTGCATCTTCTTTCGAAGCAAGTAGTTTGTCTGCAAATTGAAACGCTTGTATGCTGAATCTGTTTTCTAGAGGATTAGTTGATGTATATTCTTCCATAGTAGGATCTTCAAGGCAACTGGGTAAAAAAACATAGCAAATATGCGTAACATTATAAGATAGAAACAACTTGATACATGACTTTTATTCTCAATCAAATCCAACCAAATGGCTGATTTTTACACATTTTCGCAAAAATTAAATATTTGTTTTTGAGGGGAATACATTTAAACTCTTTCTCTCAGTAAGGATACAAAATAGATTATGTTTTTTTTCTTTCACCAACAAGCGAACGGTTAGGTAGATCCATTTTTCCTTTACTAGCTTATGTATGAGGCACTTAATATGGAATTGTTTGAATATGTGCATTTATTAAATGAAAATTTAGGGTAATCAAAAATTTACCCAGCTGATATAAATGGATATTGTAAAGTTGTTGCAGTTATCGTCTCGGTCGACAACGCCACGCACTCTTCCGTAAACAAAGTCAAATCGGCCCGCCCAACTGCTAGAAGTGCAAAGTATATGTCATCGTTGATGGAAACTTCTACTGGATATTCAGCTGGACTATAAGGTGTCTGAAATGAGAGAATATGATAGGACATTATCTGATGGGCAGAATCCGAAATCTCATAAATGACGTTCTTAGTTAAATCTTTAAAAACGGGCTTAATCTCAATGATATTAGAGTTACCCGTTGGTTCGGATTCTTGTCCATCATTCGCGATTTAAGAGACAAATAAATTCACAAATCCATTTTACCTTGTTCTGGTTCTTATGACTTAAACGTCTAATCATAATCAAACAAGAAGCGTTCAACAAACAATTAATATGAAGCTTACCATGAAACTTTCTGTACGGTAAATATCAAACGAAAACACAAATGTTCCCATTCCTTCAATAGAAACCTCGTTCTGTACATTATCACCGGTAATTGGAACTTCCGGTACAAAAGATCCGGTTAAATTTGATGTTGCTGGTAAAGTACAAACAACTGATATCTGTACCCATTCACCTCTCGTTATGACAGAGCTGGATCCAGAATAATCTCCCTTATAGACGAAAATGTCGGTTCGGTATTGGATACCCGCGGCACTCGACTGCAAAAGGAGATTTTCATTACAAAGACAAACTCGACAAATTCTTGCTAATGGTATTGCGACAGATTGTCAGCTTGATTAGATAATGCTGCTCCAAATTTCATTCAATAAGCATCCAGGAATATATATGCATACGTGGACTAAGGCATGAATGAACATGACCAGTGGCAGAATTCGAAGAATTTTTCATTTCTGTTTTTGGAACGTCGTAATAATCAGTTAACCTGATCTTGTTTCTTAAAGCTACGAATAAGTTCGGCATAGTTTTGTAAAATGAGGAAACTTGTTATGGGACTCCTGTAGTATGCGAACCAAGATGGCGGACACCGGAACGTAATATGTGTACCAGTTTAGGGTTGGGTCATAATTTTATTCTATTTTCCTTATTTTAGTTCTATTACGAGTTCGGCCAAGTGACTCCCGTAGTATTTGAACCTGAAAGTATGGCTTAACCCTAACCTGGTACACATACTACGTTCCGGTGTACGCCATCTTGGTTCACATTCACATACTACGGGAGTATCCTTGTTATTAGTGAGTTCGATACAATAGAGAACTTAAAATGTTGAATTTTATCAATGGATATGAATGTCTTTGTCTACTTTAAAAATTGTTCTTCTATTTGAAGATTGCCGGCAGCACTGGTGATTTTAAAACCAAACTTCAAGCTGAATTGAAACGCACAAGACTCGTTATTGCTGAAAAATATGACTTCACGATATGAGGAATACATTTTGGATGAGTTTATCTAAAGGTTTTAATTGGGGTAATCGCCGAAGTGAATTAATTCTCTATCGACTGTTAGGTTTCATTCCCGCTTAGTTTAATTAACCTCAGTTGTCATCCCGCATTGATCACTGGCCAATGAAAGATGCTGTTGGGAAGTTCCTCTGGTTGACTGACATTCTGAATTTAGATTATTGTGTTCTCCAGCGAATATAACTTCTTCAGATGCACAGTTTGCAATGCTAATATTCATTGTGTGGCCGTCACATGCAACCGTAGAATTGGCTGTGGAGAAAATAAAAGATATAGCGTATAACTTATCCTTATTAGTTTTCATTATTATCTCTCTCATATACGGCTCCGAATCTCAATGTGAAGTGATCTTGCAACACAGATTCAACGGTACTCCGGTAGTATCTGTACCAGGTTAGGATCAGGTCATAATTTTATTCCGATTTTCCTTATTTTAATCATATTACAAGTTCGGGGACAGTCTGTGTTATCCAAGTAAATATCCCCTTGCCCATAGGTTTCAGTCCCTTTACCCAACTCGATGTAAAATAGACCAACAATATTTTTATATACAATATTTTGCCCATCAATGAATAACCAACCACGCTCACCTATGCGATCTACTCTGTTATCTGCAAATGCAAATGATTCGAGTTGCAAATCAAGTATAATCAACGTAGTAGTGATACATGGGTGATGGGTACCATCTGTTTGTCGAGTAGATACCTAAATAGTCCGGCGCACTTCCACGTGGTGGTGCAATATGTGCAGAAATGGCATCATTTTGAGTAAACATAGAGACCTCAGGACTCTGACAATATTTGAAAATGAAAAATCACAAATCTACTCTAAGATGAATCTTGGAGTAGTGCTGAGTAATATCCGCTTTATCAAGTTTTGGGGTACCCACACGAAATAAAAATACAAATGGGTTGTCGCCTAGTTTGTTATTGATCCTTATTTTAAAAGAATAAATATACAGAGTAAACTATGACTGTAATAATTACAGCTGTAAAGTTAATTGTGTTGTAGCTTGATTTTTTCAAATATCAAACTGTCTTAAGAGTGATTTCAATCAGATCGGTTATTGGATTCGAAGTGGACCTTTGAACCGTTTTGGGATTACCTATCGATCTTGATCATTGAGTATGTTGATAGGTATTTGTCTGTTTGTTTGTCTGTTAGATACATGCGATATCTCACGAAAGCGAGGTTGCATCTGCTCCAATGCATTCATCATATCTCGGACCTGAAGCCTATTGATTTCGGATGACTAATGTCGTATAATTAGCGAGTTATTAATCAATTAGTGATGAAGAGATCTATGAAGAGATTTTTGCAAAGCGAGTGAACGTGTATGACCTAGATTTTTGAGGCGAGAGAGCGCATGTGCTGAGCGTGTATGGCTGTATGCGATGCGCAAGTTTCCATCGGAAAGTTCCCACGCTATTGAATCAGACAGAGCGAAGGATACACGCTGCTAGATCGATAAGTCCGCGATCTCTGATCGATATCTCGTTATGTTGTTCTTGTTAGTATTCTTCGTTTTGTTGTTGTTGTTGTAAAAAATTGATTTTTTCTTTAACGACTGGATCAATCGCTTTGAGTTTTTTTGTGGTTGAAAATTGTTGTTTTTGCTAGAAGGCTATTAATTTCATTTGTTTCTAAATTTCTTATGAATTTCATTCACGAGAACGCCGTTTTAATCCGCTAAGCGTGACGGCCTACTACAAAACCTTCGTTTATCGATGAGATACTGTATACAAGCTACGGTGAGGTGATGTGAAGGGTAAGGTACTGCAAGTAAAAAAAATATTACTACAATTGTGAGACGAATCATTTGGTATTTTTATTCAAACCGAGATTGGGCGTATGAATCATCATCGTCACAGGACCTGGGAATCGTAGGACGGCTCGGCTACTGGTACCGGTACTCGTTAGGTACGATGTAATATTTTCGTAAATTTTGATCAAAATATTTCGTTTTGGCCTTTGTGCCATGTATATTTGAGCATTGCTCTCTTGTTCAGTTTATATATCCATAAGTATGAAACTATTTGAAAATGATTTAATCTACTTACGGAGACAAGTTTTTTCGTTTTCGTGAAGCGACCAACATTCTTGCTTGCAGCTGCAGGAATGCGAGTATGTGCCAGCTATACAATCGTCACTGCATCCACCATTATCAACATCGCATTGATCAATTGCTATTTGTCAAAATAAGAATACGGTCCGATAGAGAATGTGTATATAAATATATTTATATTAGGCTCCTTCGTAGTTTGAGAATCTAAATCTTTAGATCATCTAAGCTTACACGTGAATAATAAAACAAAAATCGAAAAAATAGTCGGTATTGGCAGCATATTGAACAAACCAAACAAAAATATTTACCTGTTACTTCAATGGTGAAGCATCTTTGTTCTGCTCGTAGCCTGTAACAGAGTATTGATTGAAATGACATTCATAGGCGATTCTTATTTTTAGTAATAAAATCCAACTTTACCCTCCAGAATCGACGGCGTAGTAACAAACTGTGTGAATTCCTGATTGCTTGGAAGTTGGATTCCAAATCATGCTAGATGCATGTAAATCGCTTCCAAGATAAACTATGCCAGTCTGATATAAACCAACTGGCCCAATGACAATAAACTGTGTTATGCTGGAAAAATGTTTTGAATGTTAGCGCGTTAGAATAAATAATCAAGATGGAAGTACACATCGGAGAAGTTCTCTGCACATTTACTTGTTAAAATTCGACGTACTTACTTGTAGATTAGCCTGGATTATGATTTGTATAACTTGACGGAGAATTAGCACATTTTGAAGCTGTTTTATATTAGAAATGTTGAGTTTACTTGTGTACTGCTATCATTCAATAAATTTAATAATATTACAAAGGCTAAAAACAGGGTTAAAAATGCAGCTTCACCTTCCCCCTGAAACACTCGGATACGCGTATAGGGTTCGTTGAAGGTATCAGTTTCAGATATTACAAAAATTTCTCCGTCCTGAATGGCATACGATGGATAAGTTGGATTCACGTTGCATGACGATGCGGATGAAACTAAAAATAAATTATTTTTCTTATTGATATACTGGGGTGAATATGTGTTGAAAATCTTCACATAAAAAAAAACATACTGTCTATGAGAAACTGCAATGGAATTGTACTCAATACATCCAAAGGTGTGCGCTCTCCACTTCCATCAACAGTTATAGTTTTTTGTGGATGGTCCTCCAACATTAAAGCAATTGCAGCTAGGTAGATTCCACCTCCCCCGTTATATTGAAGAGTGCATGTTTCCTCGTAAAAGAAGATATATATATAGTAAGCGACGCAGTACTGTAGCTTCAATAAAGATGGTTTCGCTCCGCACAACTTGTAGCAGTCGCATCGCAAGGGTCGGTTATATCATTCTTCTAATCTCGATATGATCAGGCTAACGCTTCCCGCCACTGAATACAATTGTCACGACTGAATTTTGATTTTAATTGAATTTCAGTAATTCATTTTAAACTATGAATTACTTTATGGTGTAGGAATTATAAGGATAGGTTATATGTATTTTAATAATTATCACCATGTATTGTTAATAGTGCATGTTATTCGCCTAAAACAAGGTCGTTGCTCCAATTCATTTCCCTTAATGATATTTTTCAGTCGCACAGTATTGCCCGTCTTCATCGTTCTTTGTTAGTTAGAAATTTGGTTTCATCACGTATATATACTTGCGTTAAGGATTTAAGCGTATTTTGATAGCTGTATTCGGATTGGATTGTACATCTTTACAATATACAAACATTTGGCATTCAATATATTTTGTGCTTATCGACTTCTGAGGAGTTCAGATGGGAGTTACACTCTTTTGTTACACTATTGAACGGATGTCAAATAACATGTGAGTGCAGACACACAGACAGAGCCAATCTCCCTCATAATGGAAAGACTAAAAAATAGACCTCTATCAATGAAATGTAAGGAAAAGATCCACAAACTCCCCCGCATTCATCTGAACTGATCGCATATCTGCAGGTAACCTTATCGTTGTCATCGTCAACAGAATGGATAACAATATCACTGGCACAACCCAATTGAAGTCTAATAAAAGAAATTGATTTTATCAATAATCGACGTAAATAGTACTAAACAAGAATAAGTTATTATTCTTTAGATTAGTATATGGGGATATCTAGAATAAGACATTTTCAATGCAAACGACGAAAAACGTTTTTTTTATTTTTTACACCTAAAAAATACGAAAGGAGAGCAAAACTTGTTAGTGGAGATTATGGAAATATGGTCCAATATGACGGCCACACAAACAGACTGATTTCTTCAAAATAGGCGAAATCCAACCCCACATGCCAAGCATATACGCGACAATAACCTAGATATATGGTATTGACTAACATACTATAAGAACATGATTGAGAACTTGCTCTGAATCTGCGTTTACATTACATACGTAAAAAAGCTAGCGCAATGCGTATATTGCTCAAACTATTTTCGAGGTTCATAAGTAATATCTTAAAATAAAATAAAATATCTGTTACCTCACCACTGGTGCGCTGAGAGTTCTTGGTGACGTATTCACCTTACCGGTATCGTTTCTAATTCCGACATCTATGCCTAGGAGGGGAACGGCCCATCTGCCCCCAGCTGAGCCATACAAGCCCCCGATCCAGGCATTGCCCTCAAATCTGCCAAAGGAGACAAATTTAATGAGAAAAAGTTTGTTTTCAAAATTCAACGTAAATAAATGTTGTTTATATTGTTAAATGAAACTTTAAAACTTTTCGAGTTCTGATAACAACACGCAACTATTAAAAATTAACAAGACTATTTATAAATATATATGACACGAACTCATAGTTTAGTTCAGGGGTCGGGAACCTTTTTGGTCAAGAGAGCCCTAAAATATACATATTTTCAATTGCATTTCCGTGCGAGCCATATACCATTTCTTCACTTAATCAGGCCTGAAATGTTTACTCAAAAGTCAACACATATAATGTCAATATACATTTAATGTGATTTCTGATGCTGCATGTAGTCGCTGCGGGCCTTGAACGGTTGCTCACATGCAGCCCAAGTTGAAATCTACGATACTCATCAGCCTTTTTCGTTTAGGCATATCCGTAGTGTTTTTAAAACTATATCGCTTTGTGATGTCACAATATATGTTCCAGAATCCCCTTGTTTGTCACAATGCCTGTCTAGTAGTATCTTACATAAACATGAGACATGTGCTGGGCGCGTATTCTGAAACGTAATTGGGAATTTCCTGCCAAATTCGGCTATAAAAGAGTTTGGGATCTCGTAACAATAGTAAGCTTAGTCCTTAGAATATTATATTTTTCTGGAGCCATATGCCGTCACCCAAAGAGCCATATATGGCTCGCGAGCCATGGGTTCCCGACCCCTGGTTTAGTTTATAACAATAGTTCTTGAACTTTAAAGCACCATCGTCACCGCACAGCACTCTATAAAACAACAGCGCCTCCAATCAATACAAAAAAGGCTGAGTTGCAGAAAAAAATTATTTACAAAGAAAGAACGTATAGACTACTTCAGAGCTATACAATCATCACACCAAGGCCATTGAGCAAACATTTTACTTGTATCAATGCTTACGTAATATCGAAGGTCGATGAGGCGGTGATATTGGTAAGGAAGCTATTATAACCGTACGCCCAGTTTTCCGCAATATCATAAGTGGTGCATTTAATAGCTGTAGAATGAGGGAAATCGGAGCTCGACGCTCCATCAAGTACCCAATTTCCATTACCACCGTATCCTTCGTTCTGGTAAAAAATCGTGTTGTCATCGCACCTTATAGAATCGGAATCTCGTCGCCAACCAAGACGAAAACTAATTTCCATCTTCAAAACAAAAGAAAATAATAGAAATAGTAAAATTTTCAAAAATTAGTATCGACAATTAAATTAACATCTAAAGCTACGAGGTTTAGCTAGCGAACTAATATCGTCACATAATTAGACAGACACCAAATGTCCAAACTCAAACATCTCATAATTTGAATGGCGAAAGTTAGTCTGCAGCAATTTCTGAAACCAATATTTCTGTTACTAAATATAACTTGTAATAAACTCAATTTTTACCTCGTTTGTGTTCCCGGTTGACCTGATGTGTTTCCATGATACCGTTCCACCTCGAAAATGCGAAGCATTAGCTACCATGAGCGTGGAAAATAAAAAAGCGCAGAATTGAATGCAATAAAGCATTTTGTATATTTCTTGAAAACTCACAAATGCTTTCTTGGTTGTACAATCTAAATAAAACATATTTTTATATTGTTAACAACACTCTTGACAGCCAATCATAATGGACGGAAAATAATTTTTTAACTGTACGGAATCGGTTTCGCAATGTAGGCTATGCCTGAAATGTTACAGTGTTGAATTTTCGTGTGAGGCGGTAAGTATGGGAGATATGTATCCAGTAGTGCCTACATAGTTTGACCCAACTTTCTGACCACTGAGTCATTGCGCCAAACGTTTCAAATCAAATGTTGAAACACATTAATCCTTAGACGTATGCAGTGATCAGGTTCAAAATTTAAGAACGACGGTTTTGCGCGAACTCGTGAGAACCCCTGAAATTCGCCATTGGGAGTATACAATCGAACAGAAAAAAGTGCATCTTGCATTCAAAGATTTGAATTTCAATTATATAAAGTCAAGCAAAAGTAAGAGGGGTGCGATATCTATCATCTTTTCTGTTCACGTTGATAGATATGCTGTTGTTCAATCCACATGGTGATATCTGATCTGGTCTGTATAGGTATGAAACACTCGACCAGTTGCTGATATTACAAATTCTGACTTCAGCTTTATTTAAAATATGAAAAAGTTGTCTTCTGAGTCTTCACAATGCAACGGAGACTTGCACAATGCAACGGGCTACAAGCGAGTATAATTGTAACAAGAGAACGATGCTCAAATACATGGACACCAAATTCAAACTGAAGCAGTACGGGTATGCAATCTGTCACAGTAGGCTACCGGTATGGCCTGACCACCAAATCGCTGACGCGAACGACGATGACGTCGCACACAAAAAAGCCCCTAGAGCCTGCAGAAATTTTCAAATATATAAAGGAAACAGCGCAAAATACAACCTTTAACCACTGAAAATTTTAAATCAATTGACCCAGTAGGTATTGCGGAAGGCGATTTTGTCATAACTACAAGTACACGAAAAAGAATTTTTACAACAACATGTTAACAAAACGATCCATATGTGCATTTCGTGTCCAATACTCAATGCGAACTGTCCCCCGTGGCGAACATGAATATATATCGTAGGAAAGGCGCACTGGTGGAAAAAGCGCATTCAAATATAGACTTCGTGAGTAAATAATGAACTTCTGAAAAAAGAGTTCTCTTTTTTCTAAATTTCTCTCTTCCTTAGAGATAAGATCAATGTTGCGTTCGCGTTCTATTTTATTAAACTTATCCCACCATCGAAAACAAAACGCGTATGTAACATTTTTATACCCGTATTTCAGGAAATTTTTGAATGCTGAATAAAAAAAATCAGTTACAGGTAAGCTGTGCAATTTTTACAAGATGTATTCAAACAAACACAAGAGCGGATTGTACACAGAGAAGAGATGTTTTTATTGTCTTTGCAAAATGTCTTTTATGATGAAAAATAAAAATAAATATTGTAAAATATTTATCGTTGAATGTGCAGACCAATCTAATAAGGCAATCCTTCTAACACTAAACATCTTTCTTATTTACTTCAATATTGCCCAGATATTATAGGATTTTGTTTTTTATCAATTCTGAAAAAACAGCCTGATTTAAAAGAAGGCTCGTTTTAAATCAATTTGTTTTTCTGTATCATTTGTAATTTTTTTATTGAAATAGCCCTTGCATCGCAGTGAAACTGCGCCGAAATGTTGCGTTCTGGAAGCTGCATACGCTGCCGGAATAATAATTTTGAAGTGTAAGAAAACATCTTTTCTTTGACTTTCATTTCCATTGCGTAACTTTATCGCTAAGTTGGTACTTATACCAGGAATGTTTGTCCGAGATATCAGGGAGACGTTTTGAGCAAGAAAGGCAAGAAAAATCATGAAACATAGCTCACGGGCCTACTACAATCCAAAGGCAGTTGGATCAGGGGCCTGTTAACCGCCCAAATTTGACAAAACAAGTGCGTCAATATAATAATGAAGAATATACTTAGATCCTGGTTTAGACCAGTGAAAATTCGCGGTGATTGCGAAGCAGCAAAAGTCGACAAATGTGTATTTGCACATTTAAGCACCTAATTTTTGTATTATCAAGCTATTAGCCATATTACAGATTTGTTTCGCGGACCCTCTGAAAGTTCTTCATGGACCCTAAAAGATCCGCGGAGCCTAGTTTGGGAACCACTGGTTTAAACGATGAGACACCCTAGCCTAGGCATTGGCTGGTCTAATTGTGAGGGTCCCTCTGTAACAATAACGTCACAACTAATATGTTGAGGCGTCTTAATAGAATTTCAAGTTTATATATTATGATATCACTGGTACAAAATTACAAAACGTATCTACAGCCAAGATACATACATACCACGTTTGCGAACGCTTTGTGCCGCAGCTTGAGAATTCGTGTATGGGCAAGTCATCAATATTTGTAGCGTTCCGAAAAGTTTATTGTGAGTAAGTAGCGATTGACAAGTTTTTACATCCATTTTTCTTGTTCTAGTTTTAATCAAATAAAACAGCCATTTCGAACAAAACAGGCAAAAAAATTTGATTTAAAACAATTTTATTTGCATCAATTCTTTTGAACAAATCCCTATATATAGCAAAGAAAATGACGAAATAACAAGACAATAACAATTAAGAATTTTTCTATGTTTAAGCAAAGCAAATATTTGGCGCCAAAGTTATCTAGCACTTTTCACATCCGCCTATCCTAAATTATGATTAAATGTTAAATTGCTCTATTTTGGTAAGCTGTCACGCGACACTTTGTTTAAACAACTTATCACAGTATTCAAATGAGTAAAAAACTTTTAACTTGTATGTGTTGAGTGTTTGAACTAAAAGATCGAAAATGATCAATTTAAGCAGTGGGTAGTAAGTATGGCCAAGCCATAGACTTGCGTAAGTGTATTTTTCCATCCAAGAAATAGCAATGTACAATCACTCCTATGGATGGCAGACCTCTTGATTAATGGATCAAAAAAAATTTTTGTGTGTTAAAGTAAGACTGTAGGTAATGTATATTTAAAGTATGTCTGCATCATTTTGAAAATTGCTGTTGCACCTTTGCCTAAAGTCTTAATCCTTTTTTTGCGTAACTTTGTGCTTTACACATACTGCAATTATGTCAAAGCCAAAATTTGTGCTACTCAGTTATACGAAATTCGTGTTTGATAACACGAGTTCACATGCATATAGAATGCCGAAAAACTTTTACACTGCTACGGCACGATTTTTTAAAATAGTTTAGAAAGTTTTCCACTCTGAGATATTTTCGAACGGCTTTCGTCCGCTTTATATTCATAATCATCCAATTCCAGTTTTTCTGCAATTGTTCAGATTGTTGTTTTTCAGTTTTCAACAGCGTTTATTCAAGTTTGTAAAATTTTGTTTTTTAAACGGCTTTGTATATACGAGGAAAAAGAATATACTGCATCAAGTTTTCGTATATCCCTAAAACCATTCACTTTATTCACTGAAATGTTTGTGTGTTTTTTGCATTAATTCGTGACTCGGCGGGACTTACATTCAAAAATTCAAATCGACTTTTAATACTATTTATCTATTCTATACCTACATACTCTAATATGTGTATTTTAAAATTATAAAAAGTCATTTCTGATGACGTGATAAACAAAAAGCACTCGTGTTATCATATCATAACTGAACTTCACCTCTTTCAACAATTCGTTTAAGTCGTTAAGAACCTCAAGTTTGCCAATTGTTTGAAAAAAAAACCTTTCAGATCTTTCTTACCAGCAACAAACATTTTTATCGTGCGACCTTGATGATAAAACTTTTGTCAGATAAAAGAAAAATCCCACAGCACGCAAACTTATTTGCGGGGAGTAATGATGAATAGACATCTAATGATTCACGTTCCAAAACAACCAACCACTTGTCTATTAGAATTACGTGAGGCTCATCGTTTGGTTCAAATGATTTACGGTCAGATACCATGTCTTAATAAACTTCTGCTGAAACAGCATTAAATCTTTTTTTAACATTAATCAGGTAAATATTAATGAAATATTCAAGTTTGCTTGTTTATTTGAATGATAATGACTACAGGGCAAATTTTAATCAGTAATGTGGACGTGCTGACGTGACAGCACAGCACAATTTTGCTAACGTTGTGGTAACTGAGAACGCTCTTCCTATAGTCCAGGGGTGTGCAACCTTTTTCGTACGCGGGCCAAATATCAATAACCGGGTGAAACCGCGGAACGCACCTACTTTTAACACAGGTTTTCTATTAGTTGCAGGCACAAAATGATGTCTTTTTGTTATTGATCTCATGTCATCATTGGGGGTCCTTGCAGAAATGATGAGTTGAAATGCATAAATTCCTTAAAACTGTTATTCAAATATACTGTCACACCCAATTTGAACGAATTCAGTGAGAAGTTTGCTGCTGGATTCTTTTCCCGACTACTTTTATCCAAATTTGCTTAAATGGAAGTGCTAGCAATTCTAAATGACGCCCATTTTAAAAAAAAAATATGTTACCGAAAAGTGCCATATTTGAAGCAATGTTTTTTTTCAAATGTGGAAAGTTATTTTGATTGAGATGTTTTCTGTAAAATACGCCAAGATTCATTTCAAATAATTTGCTGTCAAATCTTATTCTAGGTTGGATTTAGACAAAATCAACCGAATCCGATAGACTGTAACCAAAACTCAGTTAGCTTTTGTATCTTTTAATATTATTTTTTTTAAACTGCTCTCCAGTTGCGTCCGCGGGCCGCACAATTTTCACTTGCGGGCCGCCCTTTGCACACCCCTGCTATAGTCCAAAAGAATTGTTGCGAAGTTCTTTATTATATTCAAACTCGCTGATATGATTCTAGCCAAAAATATATTCTAAAAAATGTAGTACTTTCTCAAGGCAGAGACCTATATCAGCTGTGAATTGGAAGAAATAAAACGTCAAAAATTATACACACCCATATTATGCCTACAACATTGATT